CTCTTTCCATCCTCATCTTCTTAGTGGAGATGCATGATGGACGTTTTTCTCCACCTGCTCACCACCAGGGCTCTCTTGTCTCTCCTCAACATATCTGGGGGCTGGATCCTTCCTGAGCCTCTTTGCCTCTCGAAGGGGTATTTCTAGACCTGGCTGAGCACCTGTTGAACCTGACATTTGTCCATGGAGCCCTTCTGGTGTTCATGGGGGGGCCTGGGGAGCATGTGTCTTTGTGCATGGTGCCAGCATGGCTTGGAACAGGAGCTCCTGAATCTGCCTTAGTGTTTTATTCATGGGATGACAGTGCAGTAGTTGACCTTGCAGACTTCAAGGAGAATGAAATTTCTTTCAGTGGATTTTAACTTGAATGGGAGGAAAAGACAAAATAGGAAAAGACTCAAGGAAAACTGGATGTGCCAGGACAGACCTGTAATCCTAGCTACTTGAGAGCCTGAGGCAAAAGGGTTACAAGTTCACAGCCAGCGTGGGCAAGTTAGTAAGACCCTGTCTCAAAATGAAAGGGCTGGGGTATTTCTAGCTCAGTGGTGTGCCACTTGCCTAGCATGTGTGGGGTCCTGGCTTCAATACCCAGTGCTGGAAACAAACAAAACAGGATTAAGGGAAATAACTCCCACCATGATGTACAGTACTAGGCCACCACAGGCCCAAAGAAACAGGGTCAAGCATCATGATCTGAAACCATGAACCAACATAACTTTTGTTCCCTTTAAGTTGTGTGTGACATTTTGTCATAGTGATGGAGAGCTGACATTGTTATTGTCACATTTGCATTTCTGTACCTGTGTGCTCATTGACATGTGTTTAAATCATAAAGAAAAAAGAGAAACAAAAACAAAGTTGGCCTTTATGTTATCTGTCTAATAATCTTTGCTAGTGTTATTTATGTCTTCACAAAGGTTCATACTACTATCTAGGTCCTCACATTTCAGCCTGAAAGACTTCCTGTGGCAGTAATTCTTGTACAGTAGGTCTTTTGGTAATGAATTCACCCAGACTTTGTTTATCTAAAAATATTGTTGGTGCCTCCTTCATTCTCAAAGGACAGTTTTTTTGTTTTGTTTTGTTTTGGTACTGGGGATTGAACTCAGGCCCTTGCACTTGCGAGGCAGGCAGTGGCCCCACTGAGCTAAATCCCCAGCCCTCAAAGGACAATTTTTTCAGATTATAATTCTTAGTGATAGTTTTCTTCTGGTCCTTTAATATGTCACCCCACCACTTTCTGGCCTCCCTGGATTCTGATGGGAAGTCAGCTGTTAATCTTACTGAGTCTCCTCCCTTGCATGTGATGAGTCACTTCTCTCTGGCTTCTTTCAGACTTCTCTATTCATCTGTCTTAGTTACCTCCTTGTTGCTGGGACAACATACTGGCCACCTGAAACTTAAATGAACAGAGGTTCATTGTGACTTATGTTTTAGAGGTTTCAGTCCTTACATAGTGGAAGTGTCTAGGTAGGGTAAAGCTGCTCACCTCATGGCAGCCAGAAAGTGGAGGATGAAAGGAGGAGCTGGGGAGGAATATATACCCACCCGTAACCCACCTCTTCCCACCAGACCCCACATTTTAACAGCACCTCCATGGTTCAGTCACCTTTCAAAAGCCCTGCCTCTAAGGGAAGAGGCTTTGGGGGGACATCTAGATAGAAACCTTAACATCAGGCCCGGGATTTAGCTCAGTAGTTCTACTGCCTGCCTTGCAAACGCAGGGACCTGAGTTCCATCCCCAATACAAAAAACAAAACAAAACAAAACAAAAAACCTTAGCATCATCTTTGCCTTTCAACAACATGGTCATAATATATCTCAGGATAGGGATCCCTCTGAGATTTTATTGTCTTAAACCTGTAAATGAATGTCTTCCATCAAAGTGAGAAATTTCGGGTCATTTTTTAATAAAAACTTTTCTGTGCCATTTTCTCCTTGGTCTTCAGACTTTTAGACTATTCATTTTTCTTCTGTTTTTTTTTACTTAATTTTAATTGTTTTATTTTCACATTCACTGCTCATTCTGCCTGCTAAAAAATGCTGCTGGACGATTCTAGTAAATTTGTCATTTCAGTTATTGTGCTTTTTAGTTATAGTATATTTGCTTTTTTTGTTGTTATTTATACTTCCTTATTGATGTTTTTATCTTCTTCATATGTTATTTTCCTCATTTCCTTCATGTTTTTGTTTTGTTTTGTTTTTTTGAGACAGGGTCTCACTATGTAGTTCAGGCTGGCTTTTAACTCACTGTGTAGTCCAGACTAGCTTTGAACTCACAGCGATCCTCCTGCCTCTACCTCCCAAGTGCTGGGATTACAGGCGTGCACCACTATGCCTGGTCTTTCCTTCAGTTTTTTTAAAAAAAATTTTTATTGGTACATTTTAGATATACAGTACAGTTACATTCATCATTGAAATCTTGTACCTTTACATGGCATTATTGGTTTTTATTTTTCCCCATTCCTCTAACCTCCCTTCCCCTCTCCACCCTTCCCTATTAACAAAGACTTTGTTTCCATTTTTTTCCTTTCTCTTATCTTTTCTCTTCACTTTTTACCATTCCCTTACCCCTCCCATTTCCCCAATACCTTTAGACCTTTTCTTCCTGTTACAAAATATCAGTTATACATTTTCTCTTCAGTTTTTGACCGTGGTTTTCTTTAGATCATTGAACATATTTGTGACAGTTGATTTAGCATCTTTCAAAAACAATTAATTCCAGCATCAGACCTTCCTCAGGTTCAATTTAGATTTCTGTTCATTTTTTTCCCAAGTGAATGAACCATGTTTCTTTGTATGCTGTGTAGTTTCTTGTTAAGAACTGGACATTCTGAGTATCATACTGTGGTAACTCTGGAATTCTGATTCAGCCACTCCTCAGGATTAAAGTTTTTACTGACTGAGGGCTGCAGTGATATTTTTGCAAATTGTGTAATCTTTGTTGCATGTGGTGACTGAAATTACTTTTCTTTCAAGTCAGCCGTGAGCTGGCAAAGGACTCCCTTCCCAAAAGGTGTTCCTGTCCCAGTGTTTACTGGTACATGCTTCTGAGGGAACCTGCCACAGCTCTAAAAGGTGAAAGTAAGGCAGGTGTCCGCTGTAGGCCCTCAGAAGCCACCAGCCCAAATGTGTTGTCGCGGGAAGGGTCCCCACTGCTTACCCAGGTAGCGCTCAGACTCTACAGAGACAGGGCCCACATTGTCACAGCACTGCAGAGTGGGAGCTGGTACTGGCACACGCACACCCCTGACAAGGGTCATCTGCCTCTCCTCCTGCCATGTTGTTCTATGTCTGGTCTGGCTCCAGAATTTGGAAAGAATTGACTCTAATTTCTGCATGATTGCTTTGGTGGAGGGTTGACCCTTAGGCCTCCCTGCATAGTCACTTCTCCTCTGCTCTTGGTTATGTAGCTGCAAAAATTATGGTTTTCTAATTCTGTGTTTTTTCTACTTTGTTAATAGCTCTTTCTAGGAAATGAAGGTGGGAAGGCCACAGCTTTCTTTATAGTAGAATTCTGTAGCTGAATTTAAGTTAAATGTTGGCATCTTTACTGAGAGTAAAGGTTTCTATATTTGTAATGAGATCCATAGAAAGAGCTCATTTTATATACTTATAACTATATGTGAAAACTCCATGTATAGATAACTGTGTGGCTATTCTGCAGTTATATGTATAGACATAAAATTTACGTCTATAGCTGTAGTCTTAGCACAAACAAAAGTATATGTGATTATAAAAATGTTTACTTCCATCTGTTGACATAGAATTTGAATATACAGGATTATCTGTGTATGATTATTAACCCTGCAGGCAGTAAGTGCCCACCTATGTTCCAAGTGACCGGAGACATGTCTGCCTGCATAGCTGTGGCCATGCCTATAGTTATTCAGTGTTTACCCTGTGCCAGGTCCTGACCTTAGCACCTACCTCGTTAACATGTTTAGCATGACTTCGTCCAATTCTCATAATGTCCTTGTGAGGTTATTCATAGCAGATGTCTGAGGCCCAGTGAGGAAGTAAGTTGTCTCACATCACAGAGCTCAAATGTGACAAAGCTCACATTAAAACAGGACTCTGACACCAGAGTATACCGTCAGTACAGATCAAGGTGTCTTCTTTAAGAGACCCCAGAAAAGTAGGTTTTCCCAAACAGTTTTCAGACTTGTTATCTTTACAGTTTTTGGTCTAAAAACGACTTTGTAGGAAAAAAATAATGTTATGAGTAATGATTAAATGAGATATCAGCTTATTTTTATGTTGTTGGAACCAGAACAATAAAAAAGAGAGCTTCTTAAACTGTTTTGACACCAAAGGGAACTTTCAGGCCTGGGATACAGCTCAGTGGTAAGTGCTGGCCCTGAATGTATGAGATCCTGGGTATTATGCCTAGCACCACACACACACACACACAAAAAAAGGATAGGTTTTGAATTTTATTGCTGAGCTATTCAGGGCCTGTGTAAGCGAGGTAAGCAGATAACACACATTTGGAAAACAAGGAAACAATGCTGAAATGTATTTTGGTGGCTCAGAACTGCCGAGGTGTGAAGGTAGACTGTGGAGCATGAGACTGTTGGGACTGCTGCTGCCAGCTGCTCAGCTGTAACCTAAAAGTGGCCTCAGTATTTTATTGGGTGTGTGACCTTCTCCCACTAAGGAATGCACTTATCTCATCTTGAAGGCTGCCCCTCTATGCAGGGGGAGCAGACTTGCTGAGGCCTAGTCTGGAGCTGCTTCCTGTTGCAGGGGTGTTCTGGGTCCCTGGTGGATTCCCAGGGGCAGATTAAATTCCTTCAGCGCTGTGCATAAATTAAGTGCAAACCAACACCTTGCTCCTCGGCCTCCAGAGGGCTGTGCTGTCCTGCAGCGTGGTGGCCAGGGACGTCTGTCTCTGTGGCAGTGTCTAGAGTCTTTGGAGATGGGATGAAAACAGGATTTTGCTTCACCTTTGCAGCAGCATTTATGCTTGGATTTTAGATTAAGCTTTCTGGCATCAGAACTATTGAGGTTCTACTCATTTCAAATTCAAAAAAATACTACTGTGAGAAACCAAGAGTTGCTCTCTGTCTGGAATACTGTCCCCAGCTCTGCAGTTGGCTGCTGCGGGCCGGCCAGGTTTTTGGGTGGTTTTGATGTGCACGCATGTTGCACATGTGGACTCCTGAGGAAGATTAAATAAATAATTCAGTTTTGATGAAGAAGAAACCAAAGAGGCCTCTAGACTGCCCGGGTAAGTCGTGTTTGTTATTTATGACCAAGAGCTCTGTTTGAGGCTGCACTTGGGCACCTACAGAGAAGCCAGCTGCCAGCAGGGCTAGGGGGAGACAGGCAGAACTCCCGCTCAGGGCCAGGGGACTCCACTGTTTCTTTGCTTCGTCCCCAGGTCTGGAGGGGAGGGCTGAGGGGTGTGGTGGCATTCTCAACCTCAGGAAGTCTAAATAGAGGACACCGGGTTCCTGTGCTTTTGATGCAGCTGACTGCTCTTCTCAGGAGAGTGGAAGACAGGCCAGGAAACACTTCTGGAAATAGGACCCCACCCTGTGCGTGGGAACAGGCCTCGTGAGGTTATTGGTGGCAGCACCACAGTAAGCACTAGAATCGGCAGTGGCTTCCATATAGGAAGAACCTGGCATGCACCCATAGTTGCTCCCTGGAGATCTGTGGTTTCTAGCAGCCCATAGGCCAGAAAGATCTTCTGGTTACCATGGCATCAGTGGAAAGCTGAGTCACAGAAGCTGCAACCAGCCAGAGTGAAGCAGCCTAAGATGGCCATGCAGGGGCCCCCAGGCCTCACAGAAAGGGCTGGGGCGAGAACACCATCTCCCCAGCTGTGCGGTGGCACTGAAAGTGTCTGCATTGACTTGGAGCTCCTCTGCATGGTCAGGAAGAGTCCAGTGAGTCACAGGCACCTGACCCTTGGCCTTTCCACTGACACTAGCAGCAGGAATGTGACCATTCTTTGGCTGACACTGTCACTGCCTGCACAGCGGGTTTCAGGGACCCTGGAACCTCTGTGAGCCCTTGGGGTTACTTCATGTACATTTTGGTGACTGTCATTAGAAGGTCATGTCCATGATTTGACCAGACTTTGAAGGCCAGTGGGAAGGATTTTCCACCATACAGTGCCCCTGAGAGTCTGGCCTAGCACATCTCTGTCACCACTGCTTTACCCCAGGTTCCTGTCAGCCCCGTGCAGCACCCTGAGAGTTGGCTGTATTGCATCTGGAAGTGAAGGCCCTGCTGGCAGGTGTGCCACAGTCAGAAACCACAGATGGCCGCCAGGACCTCATCATCCTACTGGAGACACCCAGGGGCTTCTCACCACCCATGGCACAGCTGGGGGTCAAGGGAAGCTACAGGAAAGAGCTCTGAGAAGCATATTTTAGTGTAATTCTTTCATTTCAGGGAAAGATAAAAATAAATAAAATAAGCCATATAATATTTCATCCCAGTTCCTCAGTTTTGATTCACCTCCGTGCCTTGCAAGGTGATGGCAATGCAACCATCCCACCTGTACCTTCATGGTATATCTGTATTAAATCAGCATTATTGTGCTGGGCCCTTCTTATAAAAGATGTTGCTTTATTGTTTCATGCTTGTGAATTATCCCATTGTTGTTGTTAATATTATTATTATTATTATTTTGAGGTACTAGTGTTGAATCCAGTGCCTTCACTCCAACCTACATTCCCAGCCCTCTTTTTATTTTTTTAACTTGAAACAGAATCTCACTAAGTCCATAAGTTGCCCAGGCTGGGCTGAACTTGTGATCCTCCTGCCTCAGCCTCCCAGAGTGCTGAGTAAAATTTCCTGATAATATAATGACACTATGACTTCTCTCAGTGTTTATGGTTGTCCTACCTACAGTGATGTGGGAGATTCTCTTCTTACGATTGTTAGGATGGAGGTTTTTAGCCTGAATAATTTGTCAAAAATGTATTTCTTTGCTTTCATTTGAGCATTTTTAGGTGGTCACTAATTATATGATTTTATTTTGAATTTATTAATGTTCTCTGTATATATTTATTGGAGTTTCCACCTTTCCTGATGAGCAATTTTATTTATTGCAATAGTAAATGCTACTTATTTTTTATTTATATAAGTAAATACTTGAATTTATAAGAAAAGAACACATTGGTAGATTTATATAAAAGAATTAGAATGTTGATTTGCCAAAATTTAATGCTAGTTTTTACAGGTGGTAGAAATTTGGATGATTTTAATGCTCTTTGTATTTATCTCCCTTTCCCATTCCTTCCCTTCATCTTTACCTCTGTTTTCAAGTTATTGTATAATAGATTTTTTTAACACAACAGGGACATTCTGGTTCTTGTGACTGATGTCAAAGGACCACCCATCCTTGCTGTACCTGCCAGTGTGCTCTGCCTCTCCTGCGGAGGGGGCCGTGCTCTCCCAGGGCACTGGGTCTGAGAGGCTCCAGCTGTCTCTTCTCATTGGCCAGCTCTGCACTCGCACTTGCCCAGTAGATCAGGAATATGTGAGGTGGCATGAAATTTGTCCTCATGTTTTTCTTTTCCCCTGCCAAGGTCAGCCTGCTATGGGATGGACGAAGACGATAATCACTATGTCTCACAGCTCAAGGATGTCTACAGCAGTTGTGACAGCACAGGGACAGGCTTTCTGGACCGAGAGGAGCTGACCCAACTCTGCCGGAAGCTCCACCTGGAGAAGCAGCTGCCTGCCCTCCTGCATACTCTACTTGGAGACAACCACGTTACCAGGGTGAGTATCAGCCTCTGTTCACAAGATCACTAGGTTTAGTTGTTAGCTGTTGTGACAGTGGATCTTGGTTCTAAATCTGATTGGCTTGAGAGACACCTAGAAAATTAGTAAAGTACACTTCTGTGTGGGTCATGAGGGCATGACCTTGAGGACTATATCTAGTTCTTGGTCCTCCCTCTCTGGCTCTTCCATTTTATCTCTGCTTCCTGGATGCTATGAATTGATCAGCTTCCCTCCACCATGCCCTTGTGCCATGATGCTTCTGCCTTGGGGACAACTGATCATGGTCTGAAACTATGAACCAAAATAAACCTGTTCTTCCTTTACATTGTATGTGTCTGGTATTTTGTCCCAGCAATGGAAAAGTTGACTGATACAGAAAATTGTTACTGGGGAAGTGGGTCCATTGCTGTGACTATACCTGAATATGTGATTCAGGAGCCTTTGAAAATTGTTTGCAGAAGTTTGGAATGTTTGCAGATGCAGGCTGCAGAATCCCTAAAATGCTGTAAGCAGAGCTTGATAGGCAGTTCTGGTAGGAGCTCAGTATCAGTACAGTACTGTACAGTAGTACAGTAAAGTCTCTTCTTGAGGTTTCAGATGGGAATAAAGATTATACTGGGAATTGGACTAGAGGCCATGGTAGTTATATTCTGGCACATTTTATTCATGCTATAAAATTTTGTCTGAGGCTAAGCCTAAGGACAATGGACTAATGGATCCGGTGGGGTAAATTTCAGGGCAACACGGTGTTTAGGTTGTAACATGGGTTCTGCTAGCTGCTCTTACCCAGGTCTGTAGTGAGAATCAGGACCAAAAAGCAGAACAGAGAGATTTGAAAAACAAATTTTAGCCAGAAAAGAAGCACGTGTAAAGTTGGAGCCAAGATAAGTGTGGTTGGTGAAGAGATGAGTGCTTTTAAAAAGAAGCCATCTCAGGTGTATGACACTCATGACATAGTCAGGGACTGCCATAGGGATGGGGGACAGGCAAAATTCTTGATCCTTCCTTATCTGCTACTCATTGACAGCATGATTTGTGTTTTCTTCTGGGTTAGTCAGGAACTTAAAAGCCATTTTTACTGTGAACAGTGGCTCTTCACTTGGCCTGCAGTGCCCAATAGGTGACTAAAAGCAGAACAAAGCTCAACCTTCATTTGTTTCCTTGTCACTGTAAATCCTGGGTCAGATCTCTTCTCAGCTCTACATATGGCATGTTGGTCATTTAGGATCTGGCTGAACAGTGTTGATTATCCTTGAATTCTTATGGTTTCATCTCCTTCAAGACTGGGGACACAAGATGAGAGGTTTACAGGGACATTCAGCTATACCCAGAAGCCTCCAGCCATTGTCCTAAATCTGTGATTTTCTGGATTCTAGAAAAGGCAGAGCCTTACATGACTAAGACCATTGCAGACAGAGACAGTCCTTTCCTGGGAATGTAACCATCCCTCAACTTCAAAGATTCCAGAACTATGACACCAAGCCCAAGATAATGATCAACCAGACCCCAGTCCACCAGCTAATACTTGAAAGCTGGCTTCCCACCTTTGCAGTGGGTCAGTCTAGACCCCTATATCACATTGTACTCTCTCCAGTTACCAAGGCTGGAATCCTTTCATACCTTCCCTCTAACCTTCCAATTAAAGCTTTTTTATTACCTATAAAAATAAAAAAAATAGGGCTGGGGATTTAGCTCAGTGGTTCCACTGCCTGCTTTGCAAGCACAAGGTCCCGAGTTTGATCCCTGGCTCAAAAATAAGAAAACAAATACTTTGCACTAGAATAGATACTTTGAGGGCATCTCAACCATCAACAAGATCCACCCATCTCAGGCTCAAAGGCTCAAAAGTGTGAACCTTTCCTTTTAGAAGACAGCCCCTGGGCCTCCTGTTCCCACCTTTCCACGCCTCAGGATTCATTTCATCATGCTCAGGCATCTAGGCACTCAGAGGCCACTGTAGCCATGGTCCAAGTGGGCCTGGCTTCTGCTCACACTGGTTGCAAACCCTTGGTGTTGTCCATGTGAAGCTGGCTTTTAAGATATGCAGAATGCAGAAGTTATAGGGCCACCAAGGTTTCCACCCAAATTTCAGAGAAAGGTTTACAAGGCTAGAGAATGCGTTTCAGGTCCAAAGTTCCTGCCAGCAGCTCTTGAGAGGGCAGTAAGAGTGAAGGTAAAGCTCCAGGGGAGACCCCAGAAAGTTGGATATGCCAGGAACATGGCATGTCTGCCGAGGAACGCTGCAGGCAATGAGCAGAACCTGCATGTGGGCTACAACTGGCAAGGCCATAAGGGCAGAGGTGCCAAAGCTCTCTGGAACTCACATCTTACCACCATGTGCCATGGATATGGAGCTACAGGATTTACTGTTTTCACTGATGGGTTTCAGGTATACTTTGGTCATTTCCCTTCTATTCTGTTCCTCCCTTTTGGAATAGGATTGTTTACCCTGTGCTGTTGCGTCTTGGGAGCACATAACTTGCTTTTTGAATTTTACAGGGGTTCATAGGTAAGAGTTTTCTTTGATTCTCAGAGGAGATTTTACTTCAACTTCAGAGCAGTGCTGGGGGCTATTAAGATTTTGAGGAAAGTATTAAGTGAGTTTTCAGTTATACACAGGATAGTTGCATCTTGGTGTTGGAATTATGACCTTAAGAAAATGTATTTGGATGTCAAGTTGAAAACAGGCAGACTGAAACCTCTGAAACCCCGAGCCAAAATAAATCTTTCCTCCTTTAAATTGTGTATGTCAGGTATTTGGTCTCAGCAATGAGAAAGTGACTAATACACTTTGTAAATGTCACTTGAAGATACTCATCAAAGGAAATTTGTTAGCAAATTTTCTGTTTCATGCTATGGAGATCCTATATTAACCTACCTGAGGAAAGTTGTTTAGTTTTTTGTTTGTTTGTTTGTTTTTTGTTTGGTTTTTTGAGACAGGGTCTCACTATGTGGTTGAGACTGACCTGGAACTTACTATGTAGCCCAGGCTTTTTCTCAGAGGAGATTTTACTTCAACTTCAGAGCAGTGCTGGGGGCTATTAAGATTTTGAGGAAAGTATTAAGTGAGTTTTCAGTTATACACAGGATAGTTGCATCTTGGTGTTGGAATTATGACCTTAAGAAAATGTATTTGGATGTCAAGTTGAAAACAGGCAGACTGAAACCTCTGAAACCCCGAGCCAAAATAAATCTTTCCTCCTTTAAATTGTGTATGTCAGGTATTTGGTCTCAGCAATGAGAAAGTGACTAATACACTTTGTAAATGTCACTTGAAGATACTCATCAAAGGAAATTTGTTAGCAAATTTTCTGTTTCATGCTATGGAGATCCTATATTAACCTACCTGAGGAAAGTTGTTTAGTTTTTTGTTTGTTTGTTTGTTTTTTGTTTGGTTTTTTGAGACAGGGTCTCACTATGTGGTTGAGACTGACCTGGAACTTACCATGTAGCCCAGGCTTGTCTCAAACTCACAGCAATCCTCCTGCCTCAGCCTCCGGAGTGCTGGGATTACAGGCATGCACCACCATGCCCGGGGGAAAGTTGTTGATATAACAGAAATATTTTATCTTCATTATAATGCTTACATTTATAAATTCTAATAAATACTACACTTAAAATTAAAAAAAAAAGAAGTCCTATAATGTACGAAGTTTTTTGAAAATTACTTTTTCAAGAAACTTACACAGGCTTGTGTACTTTATTTATCCTGGTGTTTTCATGGTTTATCCTAGAGTGGGATGGAGAAAATGTTTGGTATGGGTGATAGTGTGTCATAGGGTTTGATCTAGGAGTAATTCAAATGCTGATAAGCCATGCAGAGACAAAATCTCGAAGTGCCTTGCAGGCAGATTATCTTCAAAAATTTCACAGCTTACAATTCATCAAGCATTGGACAAAAGAAGTACAAACTACAATTGTGAGAATGAAAAATGCCCCCTTCTGGAGGCCAGTAATTTTGTCTAGGATGGATGGGGATGAACCCTGGGAGACTCAAAGTCCTCTAGGAAGGTTATCTGGATCCTGACCACACCTTCATCCAGGAGGAGAAGCAGCTTTCAATTCAGAAACCGTACGTCCATTTTCCTCATATGGACTGATGTACGAGCAAATGGCAGTCATGAATACAGAAGTCCATTTACACAAGTGAAGAACAGTATTAACTAGATAATTTTTGAAAACAATAGAGTTATACCTGTTTTTTGTTTGTTTTTTGGTACCAGGGATCAAACTCGGGACCTTGCACTTGCAAGGCAGGCAACAGTACCACTGAGCTAAATCCCCAGCCCAAGTTATAGCTATTTTTAGCTCCTGTTTTTTGTTTTCATTGTTTTTTTGTTTTGTTTTGTTTTGTTTTGCTTTGTTTTTGTTTTTTTGTACCAGGGATTGAACTTGGGTCCTTGCACTTAAGAGGCAGGCGGCAGAACCATGGAGTTAAATCCCCAGCCCTTACCTCCTGTATCTTAAAGAAACATTACCAAGATCTGGTTTCAAGTTGCAAAGTTCATAGGGTGAAAATCCTTGTGACTTCTGTGGGAGTTTCCGTGTATATTTTACGATATGTCATCTTGTTTCTATTACAACAGCAGTGAGGATCTTAATCTCAAGAATTTAAAATTTAGACAGATAATCTTTTAAAAAGGGATTCTTAACAATGTTATTAGCAATAATTAGGGTTAATAATTAACCCTAACCCTAAGTTGGAAGTGACTGTTCATCATGGTCCTCCCCCTTTGTTTTGCAAGAATGAGTCTCAGTTGACGCGGAGATGCAATGGTGTCTCCTGGCCACCTCCCAGAATGTCACGGGGCTGTTCCCTGTCTTAGGGGCTGTGAAGGACGAGACCCAGGAAACAAAAACACAGGCAAAATGGGTCAAGCTAAAACAACATCAGACAGGGACACACATCCCATTGCTTCTATCCCGTTGGGTAGAAGAAACTGATAGCTACTACCAAAGACACAGATCAAGCAGCACTGCCCTTTCATCATCCGTCTGTATGCTCCACAGGTGTTTTCTAAGCAACTCCTATGCTGGGCACCCTCGTGTGCTGAGGATGCACAGATAGCAGGAGCACATTTCCACTGGCATGTGTACAAGGCCATTCATACCGGCACTGAAGACCAGAGCAACCAGTCATTGTAGGGTAGGTTACGTAAATTCTGGTAGATCCAAGCGTTTGAAATTTTACACAGCCTTCCTCCCAAAAATGGAGACTTCTAGCATTTCAGTAGTAGCAAATCAACAAACTCAAGCTGAACTTTCACAGAGGCTACTAAAAAAGGTAAACAAAATAATAAAAACAAAAATCTCAAAAACAGTAAGAAAGGAGAAACCAGAGAGAAATTACCAGTCCAAAGATGTATGGTAAATCACATACCTGGTAAGCTCAACACACAAAAGCATGTTTGTCTTGAGAATATTTTATCATCATAATCTAGTGTGAGATTGATCTGTGGTCCTGGGGGACTCAAAAGGCCAAGGAAAAAGATATGAAAACCAGGCTCATCCAAGTTAGAAAGTCTGGTAGATCAGATTCATATTTTTGGAGAACCCTAACAGGACACCTGTTGGACGGACAGAGACCAACTGCAGCTCAGTCAGCCACCATGTTGCCTGCACCTACATGGGTCGGGGCTGTAAACCCTCAGTCCTCTCATGGCTAAGGTAAACACATGCTTGCTCTTGAACAAAGAACCTCATTCCCAATCTGAAAGTACTCCAAGGAGGCAACCACCAGGGGAGCCAGAGTCCTGTTTACTAAAAGAAAATAACCACCTAGACATGGTGGCACATGCCTGTAACCCCAACACTAGGGAGGCTGAAGCAAGAGGATCACTCAGAGTTCAAGGCCAGCCTGAACTACATAGTGAGACCCTGTTTCAAAGAACAAAATAAAAAAGAAAAGGTAATAGCTGACCTATATCAACATTCAGCACACATACCTTCCAAGAGCAAAGCCATACAAGAGCTTATGTGGGAAATGAGACTCTGCTCAGCAGTGGGAGGCTATCAAGGTGATTGCTCAGTGAGCACATGGAGTACAGCAGGCAGCTCCTGCCCCAGGTGCATGTGAGTTCAGGTCAGGGAGCGATGCACACATGTCCTAGACAGAGGACTGGGGACAGTGGCAGTTTGTCATCAAAGAGGCAGCAGAGCCTCAAACCCTGAGCCCGCCACTCCAACACTACTGTGATGTTGGCTTGGAAACCCTCCTGTCTTCTTCCTTCTGTGGGACTTCATCACCATGGAGAAAAGAGCACAGCAAAGTATGCAGCACAGTAAGCGCTCCCAGCAGAGCACACCTGTGTGACCAGCACCCAACTCTCTCCTTGAGCCCTCTCAGCCCCTCTGTCACCAGAGCCTTGCAGCATCCTTTTACCAGCATGGTAGGCCCGCAGAGCCTGTCTCTGACATGCACACCGGCATACCCTGGCCTTTTGTGCACCAGCTGACGTCTAAGAGCCACATTCACGTGCCTGTGTCTGAGTGGTTGGTGCAGTGTCGTGTTGAGTTGTGTAACTGTGTCGCTGCTCATTCATCCCTTCTGTTTAAGTGAACATAAAGTACCCCGCCATCCGAGAAGAATGAATTATTATTTTAAGCTATAAATGATGTTCTGCTGAAAAGATTACAGGTGATATTAAAACATCCAAAACACCTAGAAGAGTTTGCCACCAGTATATGCAAGAAAAATGAATTTCCAGAGGAAGTACTTTAAATAGATGGAAAATTATCACAGTTAGGAGATGGGGTTGCAGGAAGAAATGAAAAACCTAGTGGTTAATATGTGGATAATTCTAAATGAACATTAAACACATAAAATGAAAATGATGTTTTGTAAGGGTACAAAATATAAATAAACTGCATGGTAAAGGTTTAAAAGTCAGGAATGTAGCAAAGGGAGTTAAAACATTACATGGGCTTTGTATTATAGAAGAGGGTGAAAATATTGATTAATAGTACATTTGATGGGCTGGGGATTTAGCTCAGTGGTTCTGCCACGTGCCTCGAAAGCTCAAAGTCCTGAATACCAAAAAAAAAAAAATAATAATAAATAAATTTGTTACATGTTTTTAGGAGAAGCAGTAAGAGAATGAAAATAGACTACATACAATTTCTAACTTAACAAAGAGAAAAATGAAGTCCTAAAATACAGTAAACCCAAAAAGAGAAAAGAAAAAAAAGACAAACATTAAGGGTAGGGGAATGGAAAAAAATATGAGAAAAGGGAAAAAATGGAAACAAGTTTTTGTAAGTAGGGAAAGATGGAGGGGTTCAAGGGAGGGCAGGGGAATGGGGAAAAAATAAGAACCAAGGGGTTGGGGATTTAGCTCAGTTGCAGCGCGTCTGCCTTGAAAGATTTACTACACCCTTCCTTGGAAGAGGAAAAGAAAAAACAAAATGAAACGTCTAGTTCAAAGTCCAAATTCTTACTTTATGGATGTAAAATGTTGAGGTTGCAACAAGATTACAACGGTTTTCAGCCATGCTCAGACCATGGTTCTTTGTGTAGGGTGTTCAGCCTGCAGGAGGAAAGGCCAGACTCACAGAAGTTTGCTTGTTTAGAAAAAAGCAACGCTAGCAATCAATACAACTTCCTGAATTTGTTTTTTTACAGAAAGCCTTATCATAAAAGTTCAGTAATTATAATCTACTAAGATAGTGTAATTATGTTTGGTTTTGTAGGGTGCACAGCAATGGTTTCCTATTTTGATGTCAGTTTTTCAATTAAGTTTTGATTATGGACAAAAAAAAAAAGAAAAAGTGCAAGGTCCTGCGTTCATATCCTCAGTACGGGAGAAAAAAAAAAGGGCCAAGATATATCATGTAAAGGTACAAATTCCCAGTGATGAATGTCATCAGATTGTATACCTAAAATGTACCAATTAACTTAAAAAAAGTTCACATCGAAAGTAGCAAGTAAAATATTAAATTTAAATCCAAATATACCAGTAAATTGAATGTAAGCAGACTAAATACTTCAGTTAATTGATAAAGATTGTCAGATTAGAAACATCTATCTACTGTTAATAAGAGGCAACCTACATCAGGATGTACATAATTGAGACTAAAAGTTTGTTAAAAAGATTCACCATGTAAATACCCAAAAAAGCCAGGTGGTTTTTGATAGGAGAAAGTGAAACTTAAAGATTAAAAAGTGACTGAGGAGTTCTTAGGTCTGGCCTGTGGAGAAACCCCCAGGAGACATACGGGACAGTGTTGAAAGCATTTTGTTTTTGATAAGCGGACACTGGAAACAGCAGGACCTGGGCTGCTTGTTGCCCTGGTCACAGTGAAGCACTGTGCATCAGCGGTGGACGAATTCTGCTTGTGCACAGCCTCGAGGACACTCATTAAAGAAGCAGTGTGAGTCAAAGGGGCAAGACCTGAAAAAGCGTACGCCTGAGTCCATCGAAGGAAAGCTGAACCCTGTGTTTCAGGGATGCATGCGGGTTAGGTGCAGAAAAGCAAGGATGTGTGTTACTATCATGTAACGGTATCGGCAGGAAGGAACAGGAGCAGAGCCTTCCAAGGAGCTGGCAGCGTTGTTTCTAGTGGGGTTGTGATACCATGGCTGTTTGCTCTATGAGTGTTAATGTCTTATGACCATCAGTTTCCCTTTTTCTGAACTATTTTCATTTGTAAGTTTTTCTTATTTTTAGAGACAAGGTCTCACTGTATTGCCGAGGCTGTCCTGGAACTCCTCAGTTTAAGCACTTTGCCTGACTCAGCTTCCTCAAACTACATGTTTGTGTCACTGCCTAGCTGTTTTTTCCTACTTATGTTGCTGGATCTCCTTTATAAAAGCATTTATTTGACAGTGGAATTGTGGCTCATTTTTACCTTTCATGCTCTTCTGTTGAAAACAGTCTTAAGTACATATGTAGAAAACTGAGACAAATGTTCTCCATCTAGGGCAGCAGTCAGATATTTCCATCTGAGAGGAGCCCAGAGGCTATGGTGGTGAGCATGGCTCTGCAGTCACCCTGTCACCTCTCCTTAACCCTGTGCAGGTCAACTTCGAGGAGTTTAAGGAAGGGCTCGTGGCTGTGCTGTCGTCCAAGGCTGGTGGCAACTCCATCAGTGAAGAAACTGGTTCTTTGCAATCAGGTGAGAGAATGCTCTCCTATCAGCTCACTTTCACTGCCTTGCTTCTCTGTTGTCTTTTGGAGTAAAACTTGCAGCTGTGAAAACTGAGTTCTAATCCTGCTTCCTGTCACTGCCAAGCTGTGTGAACTTGGATGTTTGGGTTTTCTTCCCTTCATCTCCTGTTTGTGAGCATTGTCTCAGGGTGACATGCACCATACCTGCCACAGAGTGCTGAGGATCACATGGCGGGTGTATGGGAGGAGGCACCCAACCTCCGTGGTGCAGGCAGCCGGCCACCACCCAGGACCTCTGACACCTGCTTGTCACTGTGCTATACGATTGGTTAGAATAAGAAGGGGTGGATGGGACAGAGATGCACTGGCTAGCAAAGGTGGGGGGGCAGCCACCTCCTCGTTCTGGCCACACATGCCAGAGAGCAGTGGGTTTCGTGTGAGCACAGGGAGGATCTGCTCGGGCGTGAAAGGAGCTGGTCCAGGACTTACTGATCATAGGTCCCAGACAATGTGCTGCATGGCCGATGTGCCGGGAGATGGCAGTGCTGCCCTGGGGGACCGTGGTCAGGGTCAGGGCCAGCTGCAGATGAGGGGCAGGGCCAGCTGTGGGGCCATAAGTTTAGGGTCAAGCTAGGTCAAGATCCAGCCCTGCTGAAGGTTGGGAGTGGGCCCAGCGTTGGGACAGCACTGTTGGGAGAGGGAAGGGGCTGAGGACCCATATCGAGTACCATCTGGATTCCCAGCTGTGGGCTTGTGTTCCATGTAGATCCTCTGCCCTCACCGAGTCGTGTCATGTTATCATCCTCAGTGTTCAATGACAAGCTGAGGCTCCAGGAGAAGGGATTTGTCCAGACCCCAATGAGTGGGTGGTGGGAGGATTCAAACCTGTTTTGCAATTTAAAAGTCCTGGGCCCTGTGCACAGCTGTGCTGCTGGAACACTGCTTGTCCCATGGATGTTGGTGTCCCCTTTCTGCCTCCTCCAACCTGGGGTTGGGACCTTGGACCTGAGCCAGCCCTGTGCGCACACCACTTTCAGGGTGCAGTCCTGACTCACACCCTTCCCTCCAAGATGTACGGCAGCTGCTTGCTCTCCTCACTCACAGGAGGAGCTGGGATCCCATTGTAAAGGTGCCTAGGGAGTGGAGGTCCTGCTCCAGGGATGTGTGTTCCCCATCTGTGCCTGAGGTGCTGCAGCCCTTCTCCGTGCCGTGGGCACCCTGAGCTCTGAACTCTCCACGTATGCAACTTGTTCTCATTTCTTCCAAAGAAGCAATTACAGTTTGGACCCATGCATTTCTCATGATTCAGTTTTTCTCTCCCCTCCCTTCCCTTCCCTTCCTTCTCATCCTGCTTCCCTTCCCCACTTGCTCATCCCCACACCTGTTCTCCTACCTTGCACCTTTGGCCCCCTCTTCACTCTGCTGTACCTGCAGCTGAGAGCTCTGTGCTCAGGCCCCACTTGATGCTGGTCACGATGTCATCCTCCTTTGGGTTTCCCATCTCCTTGCTGATCCTTCTGTTACCCACCATGGTGATCAGAGAAACAGGCTATGGATATGCAGGGCAAGGTTCATGGTGTGACATATACCCTGGATTTTAGAGAGCAGTCCTGCTCCCCATCACCCTCCTCTTGTTCAAGGCCATCATTTGGATGTATAACTCAATGCACTTTGGGACTTTATGTCACTTTTCCTAGAGAAGGCACACAGGTGTACAGAGCTTTGGCCTGAAGTTGTGCTACGGGGGTGGGGTGAATGGTAGACAAAGCACTGGCTGAAGGCTGCTGGAAAGATCCTGGGCCCAGGAGACTTAGAGTGAGATCTGCCCAGAGGGAGGGGCCCCATGGTTCTGAGATGAAGGCCACCTTGGTCACTGTTGCCTGGCTCTAACTTCTTGTCCCCAAGCTGGTGAGCCATGTGGATGCTCTCCTCTAAGTGGCTGATTCTGGGTAGGGCACTACACTCCCAGGCACTTGTCATTCCAGAGAATGCCTGGCTGGGGATGAGGAGGATGCCAGGTAGCACAGCACCTTGAGGTCAGCACCGACCGGGGGGCTGAGGAGAGGATGCAGACACCAGTGGGTGCCCAGTCCCCAGGTGTGTGGGTCTCAGCCCCAGGGCGTGGCCATCAAAGGCAGCACAGAGCCCCGTCCCCTCTGTGGCAGGGCCCGTGGTGCAGAGTCGTAAGCACCCTTGAGTTCCTCCAGCATGGCTTCCCACATGCAACACAGCTTCCGTTGCATCCAGAGATTTTGTTTCCCTGCGTTACCTCATGGGCCTGAAAGGACTCCCCATGATAGCCACAGCAGACATAGAGGAGAGGGACCCCCCCCAACATGACAAGGAGGAGGGGTCCCTCTCCAGCTGTCTTGTTCTGGTTGCTTCCTCCCTCTGGATCCATGTGTGACCTCTGTGTCTTCCCCACCATCTCCTTGCCCACCCACACGCACCTTGTAGACTTGTGCAGATGTACAGGATGGAGGTGGGGATAGAGTAGTGTGGATTCAGTGAATTCTCATAAATCTCAAAACCAGTGTCCCTGCCCGCCTCCGCCCTGGACCCTCTGACCTGCAGGCCTGTGCCCTCCAGGCTTCTGTATGTCTTTGTGGTGAAGCATGGGAAGTTCTAGGTCTCTGGAGCTATGTATTCTTAGGTTATTGTAAGTTTTTCCTTTTGCTAGCTTTTGTGCTTATTTTTTGTTCCATTAACAGAAGCAAAATATATTTTTTTAAAAATGCAAACAGTGGGTGGAATTTAGTGGAAGGACCTTCCTGCCCTGGTGCCTCATTTCCCCCATCGTACCAGGGGAACCCTGTTAGTGGACCTTGAATTAACACTGCTAGGGCTTCACTGTGCACTGTGCATCTTCAGATTCTTCTGGACGTGACAGGCTCGACACTGGTGGGCCTGGAGCACTTCATGATCCTGCACCTGTTTTCTCTCCAGCTGCCTCCAATGCTGTCCCACCAAAGTATGTGAGTGGCTCCAAGTGGTACGGCCGTCGGAGCCAGCCAGAGCAGAGGGCTTCTGCCACCAAAGCCAGATGCGGACCAGAGCAGCAGACCAGGGCCGGCTTGAAGAGCCAGCTCCGCCGCTTCATGTCCCTGGAGAGTGTGGAGGTGAGTCAGCCATCGCGTCCTACCCCAGGGTGCTGGGGAAGGAACACTTCCTTCTGTCACCATGACACATGGTCACCAGAGCTAGAGGGAGGGCAGTGACATTCCGGTCAGCTGCAGTTGCCAGCAGCCTGGGTCCACATTGGGGAAGACATTTCCCTGTAATGCTCTTGGTTTGATTGTCTTTGAGTGGAGTGCCACAGGGTATCCACCTTCAGTTCTCTGGCAGTAGAGAGTTCACAGTAAGATCTTCCTCCCTGTCACTGCAAGGTGGTTTTTACGGCGTCACAAGAGTGAATGTGATGTGCTAAGGACAGAAAGGGAAAATCGCCTTCGCTTTGGCCTCAGGTTAGGAGTGTTCATGCCCCATACCCACAGTCCCACCTGCTTCAAAGGCATGGAAGTTCCAGGGCTCTGGTGGAGTCAGGCCTGGTCCCCCCAGAGCTTTGGCAGCACTGCTTCCTGCCTGCAGACCCCATCCCTGATGTCTGCGATGGCCAGGAGACCAGCCGGGCCTCGTGCTCCCAAGTAAAGAGATTTCATGGGGGCAAATGTGCAGCTCCGCAGGGAACCCTGGACCCTGGGACCTATTTTCAAAGATCGCAGAGGCCCTGGGCCCCACTTTCTGTAACAGGAACCCTGACAGCCAGGCACACTGGGAACCTTTCACAGGAGCCCTGGCCCCACACTGATGTATTTGTATCTTGGACATTTATTGAGGAAAAAAAAAAGAAATACATATTTGAATGTTAGAGCCCTTTTTTCAGGGCCCTGTTGCATGTGGACAGCCAGATCCAGGACCCTCCTTTTTATTCTTTTTGTGAGTTTGGGTCTCAGATACAGAGGTGGAGTGAGTGGCACCTGGCCTTGTGCTCCATCTTCATTGCATTGTTCTGCTGCTTGAGCCATCTTTTCTTTTTGTTTCTCTTTTTTGTGATACTGGAGATTACACACAAGGAGCACTAAGCTACATCCATGGCCCCTTTTTATTTTGAGACTCACTAAGTTGCTGAGATTGGCCTTGAACTTGTAAGTCTTCCTGCCTCAGCCTCCCAAGTAGCTGGGGCCACAGGTGCACACCACCAAAGCCAAGCCTTAAGTCATCTTAGATTCCAGAAATGTGAGTATAGGGGCAAGCTGCCTTCAGGATTGTCAGTTGAGTTGACACATTAGAAAAATGGGGTTTAAGAAAGAAAAATAGGGTTAACTATCAGCAACTTGGATTCCGACTCTTGAGAATTAGTGCCAGCTTTGCAGGGGACAGTGTTGGTCACCCAGCTGTTGGGTGTTCTGGAATCCATTATGGGGACACACAGCACTTGGTCAGACTTTGACTCTGGCCTGCTGACTCAGTCACTGAAATGTGAGGCTCTTACTAAACTGTATGTTTCTCAGTGCCCCTGCCCCTCTGAGGCTTTGCATGCAAGTTTGCGAAGGGCACTGGTGTCAGATGCCTGTACACCGTGCTGTGCCCTGGGAACTCAGGCACCTGCTTCACCTCCACTTGTTTGCTGACCCGATGTGGGTGAGGGGCCATGCAGAGGGCAGAGATTTGCAGCCCCCTGTGGATGGTGGTAGCGTTGGTGCTATGGGTTCTTCCGCAGCTGGGACTTGAGTTTTGCTGTGTCCTTGGTGAGCTGCTTGTGGCTGTGTTTATGTTGAAGAACCTGAGCCAGGTGCCCTTTAGTCTGAGAGGATATTGGTTCACAGGAACTGTGGGCTGCTCAGTGAGGCCCAATGGGGACATCTTCTGCTGTCCCTGTCCTGCCCAAATGTCCTATTCAGGTTGGGTTTTCTTTGGTGTGGGGGGATACCGGCCATCGAATTTGGGACCTTGTACTTTTGAGGCAGGCAGCAAAATCACTGAGCTAAATCCCTGGCCCCTGTCCTAATCTTTTTATCCCTGGTGCTGCAATTCCAGGACACCATTGGGGGCTCACTTCCTTCACTGTTTTTCCAGAGTCTCAAGTCCGATGAGGAAGCCGAAAGTCCTAGAGAACCTCAGGATGAGCTGTTCGAAGCCCAAGGTAACACGTGGCCTTGTATTTGCTGCCCTCTGCGTCGCCCGGGCTCTCAGCTGTGCTTCTGCCTGCCACAGTGGGACAGTGCACAGCCTCCCTGGGGGAAAGGAGCCACCTTGGCACCTGCCAGGATCCTGCAGGTTCCAGGAGAGTGGGAGACATAGCCCTGGTCCTCAGAGCCTTGTATGGCCCAGAAAGGGAGAACTCAGCTATCTATGGGGTGAGGCTGCATGGTGGCCAGGTACACAGAGTAAGCAGGACAGGAGGGACAGCACCTGTGGTACAGAAATGTTTCCAAAATCAGGAAAAATTCTTTCAGCAGTTGCCTCTGGGGAGGACCACAGATACTTAGGGGGATGATTTCTTTTTTGTGTTCATTATCTTGTTTTGCCTATCATACTTTCATGATGATATAAAAAACAAATATGAAGAGTCCAAGCATGAGTGAGAAGACAGACCAATACCTGTGGCAGAAGTGTAGAAAGAGAAGATAGCATAGAATCAACTGTGAGTTTGTACGAAGCTGCAGAATGGAGGAGCCCAGCAGCAAAGCAGGAGGGAATGCCAGGAACCCTGAGGTGCTACCCAAGGTGAGGGGCCCACGTGACCCCAAGGGGCTGCCCTGGGGCCAGAGGGCCCATGTGACCCTGTAATAGGCTGGGTGCAGGCCCAGTTCCTCACCCTTCCATGCAGCCCTAGGCCAGCAGTGAGCCTCTGGCAGAGCTTGAAGAGCAAGCAGTTCATGCCACAGGCTCCCATCTTTATGCTGCAGAGACAAGGGTGGGTACACTGGGCTTGGTCATGCTCCTCTCTTTGCTTTGGATGGGTCTGAAAGTTTCAAAAAAATGAAAATTTTAAAAAACTGGTCTTGGGGTGAGGACATAGCTAGAGTGCTTACCTAGTATGCCTGAGGTGCTGAGTTTAATCCCCAGCACTGCAAAAAAGAAAAGAAAGATTGATTTGTGGAACTAAAGCAAACTTAGGAAAAACTGGTCCGTGGAGCGCCCGTGTGTTTCTGGGGCTCTGGCTTTAATAGGTGCCCCCCAGGAAGAGCTTTCCCCTGGTGGAGCATGGAGAAACATTTCGTATAAAACTTCTTTACAAATGTAAATGGGGAGGATTACACCGTGGACCTCGTCTCCTCACCACCTAGACACCCTCTGGTAGTGACACATCTGTGTGTCCCTGTCTGTCTGCTGACACATGGTTTCAGAGTAAATCGCCAGCATCTGTGTGCTTCTGCCTAGGGCACAGACCTGACTGTTGTTGGTTTTCCCGGCTTTCCTGAAGTGTGACGGGCAGACAAAACTGCCGATATTTAGCTGCACAGCGTGCTGATTTGATAAATACACACACTGAAGGGCTTTGACATGTCCATCTCACCTTGCTCTGTATGTGTGCACATGTGTGCACGAGTGTGTGTGTGCATGTGTGTGTTGTATTGTGTATATGCAGGTGTGTGTGTGTGTGTGTGTGTGTTGATAACCTTCAAGGTCTGCTCTCTGAGCAAGTCCCACACAGTTGTTACATGGTTAACTGTGGTCAGCATGTGCATGCATCTCCAGCGTAACCATCTCCGAAGTGCAGCATTCTGTATCTTCTAGTGAGCAACTTTGCTTCCACCCCAGCCTTGCTAAGCCACATCCTCCTCTGTCACCACAGTTCCACATTCTTCAGATCCCACTGCAAGTGGGACTGAGTGTCCTTTATCCTTTTCTGCCTGCTGTTTCATAACACCCTCCAGGTCCTTCCCCACTGCTGCAAATGGTGGAATGTCCTTCTTCCTAAGGCTGAATATATCATGCACATCCATCGGGGCTTAACTGTGGCTTCCCCTTTGTTCCAGGGCAGCTGCAAACCTGGGGCTCCGAGGTCTTTGGGAGCCCTCAGAAGTCCTGTAGCCCCTCCTATCCCTCATCTGAGAGCCAGGTCCAGATCATCTGGGAGCAGCTAGGAGTTGGTAGCCGTGGTCACCTGGATGAGCAGGAGCTGGCTTTTGTCTGTCGGAGCATTGGGCTCCATGGACTCAAGAAAGAGGTAAGGACCTGAGTTCCCCCAGCAGTTCATGAGGACACAGCTTCATGTTGTCTGGAAAATCCCTTTACCCTGCAGGCACAGATTCATTTCTGTCGCTTTTTGGCCTTAAAATCTTGGCTGGCTCCCTGTTCTGTCTGAAACTAAATCCCAGGCCCCTCTGTAACAGCCCAGCCCAACCTCCCAGGCTTCCTGCCTACCCCCACAGCATGCTGGGCAGGTGTGATGCCTTTGCTCGTGATCCTTCCTCTGCCTGGAGTGGACCCGCTCCTACTCTGCATGACCCAGTTCTATACCATCCCAGACAAGTGGCCCTGGGCCTGTGTGATCCTATGGGGACCTGGGTAGTTATGGAGACCAGGCTGCCCAGTACCTTTGCTGAATTCTGAGCCAGGGACCGGCCATACCCACTGCGTACCTCTCAGTGTTCAGCAGCTTCCAGTCTCCACTGGACAAAGTAGTCAGGAAGTCTGGGGTGCCCCACTCATGGTGGGAGGGAAGCTGAGGCAGAGGACCTCAGGAAAGCAGCTGGTCAGTTCCAGTTTGGGGACGGGAGACAGCCCCACGGGGTCCTAGAGCCTGGGGGAACGGGCTCAGAACCTGATGGGCAGTGGATTTGGTCCAGGAGCTCAAAGACCTGTTCCACAAACTGGATCAAGATGGTGATGGCAGAGTGAGTCTCGCAGAGTTCCAGCTTGGCCTGTGCAGTCACAAACCCATGCTGCTTCCAGAATCTTCTACTCCAGTCAAACCAAGCTGGCCCTGGTCCCATTGCCAGGTAAATGGGACAGTTATATGTCACCCTCCTATGACTATGACATGACATCTCTGTGTGTTACCCAGTGAGCTGCCTGGGGGCCACAGGCTGAGCACGAGCAGACACGAGCCTGTATTGGGGAGGCGGGGAGTGACACAGACCTGGGCTGACCTGTTGTGTTGTGGGGTGAGTCCCTTACTGTCTCTGAACCCCAGTGCCACTGTCAAGGGGAACAGCCCATGCACCCACCTGGGACCTCTGAGGATCACAGTAGTTCCTCTGTGGCCTCTGAGCAGTGCATTTCCCCAGGTCTCAGTGGGAAGCCCCTTCCCCAAGAGTGGCTGGTAGGTGGCTTCTATCCCATACTGGGTCCTGTGTGCTGCTCCTGTCACTTGCTCGCTGTTCTAAGAGGGAGGGGGTCACTACAGTGCTGGACTACGGCAACTGCTCAGTGGTTGCTGGCTGGGCACCAAGTCCTGGCGCCAAGACAGCAGGAACCTTGGTGGGGGGCAGAGGAGCTGTACTGGGCCCTGTGGAGGTGTCAGGCATCAGGGTCATCAGCCACCTGTGGGTCAGGCACTGTTTTCTATGCCTGAGGTCCTCGATGTCTGCCCCACCTGGCTGGCCTGTAAGAACCCTGCTCCCCATGCTACATACCCACCTCACCTGCTGGAGCCACACCCTCCCCACACAGTGAGGCCCCCAGCTTGTGACAGCTGCAGCAGCTCCTGGGCTCCGTGACCCACACTCTGCACACACACATCATGGCGCGTGCATACCACCTGTACACATACACTGACAGACACCCACCATAAAGGGACATTGCATATGGACACTGCTGCATGCACATCCACATCCACCGTACCTGTGTACTGACTGTATACACACATACTACACTGCACCAGCTGCCCACACATCCACCTATGTGTTTCCACTGTGTATGTGTTACCCTACATGGACACCACTGTGTGCACACACATCTATTATCCACGTGTACCCACCACATACCCACTGCATATACACACACTGTATATGCACATGGTACACGTGTACTGACTGTATGCACACACCTGCTGCTACACTCGTTCACTGTCCATGTGCACCCACTGCATACACTGTGCTGCACGCACACCCGTGTGTAGCACACTGCACTACCCATACCTGGACTATATGTGCATAGCCTGGGACATGGCCAGGCTAGGAGGGACAGGCCTGCTAGAGTGTGCAGAGCACCCAGGTCCTGCCTTGCAGATGCCTCTACCTCCAAAGACAGCTCCTTCATTGGGCAGCAGCTGGCTGCAGGGTGTCAGCTCAGTGGGGCATATGGAGCTGCCCTTCAACCAGAGCAGGCAAGGCACCTGCCATAAACACTCGTTCCTCCATGACCGCCTGTGGAAAGCAGGTGGATGTGGCTGCCAGACTCTTGAGGTGGGGGCTTCACAATGGTCTGGGTGTGTCCCTGGAGCAGAACTGGAGGAGGGACAGCCTGGCAAGTGTCAGGCAACAGAACCACAGGGAAAATTAGGAAGAGCAAGATGACTCCAGAGCCAGACCCATGCGACTAGACAAGAGTCTAGGGTGGAAAACAGAAGTGCCCAGTGTGCAGGACCCACTGACACCCTGAGTCCTGGGGTCCCAGATGGCAAAGGTTTGTTAGGCAGGACCCAGAGGGAGGAGAATGCAATGGGAGACCACTGTTACGGGACTGGAGCCGAGAGTTTGAGTCACCTTGGTGACCCTGACGCACAGCTCCTCTTTTGCAGGATTCTGGGAAGAGGGAGCTTCTGCTTGGGCTCCTCTGCTTTTGTAAGCCTGGATTTCCTGGCTTTGCTTCAGCTTCCCAAGTCTTCCTCTGCAGGCTAGGCATTCACTCAGCAGCTCAGGGAAGAGACACCAACCATCAGAGCCCTTCACATGATGTCCACTGACCAGGGATGAGGTCGATCATATAGGCCTGAAGCTCCTGGTAGAGGACACAGGAGCAGATGCTGGAGCCCTGACAGGAAGGTGGGACCAGGGACATCCTAGCTATGTCCTTTGCAAAGCTATGTGACCCTGACAAAACCATGATGGTGCCTAGCTTCTTTCCTTTTCTCCAGGAAGAGGCACTAATAACAGTTGTCTTATTTACTTTTCTCTCGTGGCTGAGACAAAATACCTGACACCCAAAGTTAAAGGGGAAAGGATTTCTTTAACTTACAGTCTGTAGATGTTTCAGTCCATAATTGGCTGGCTCCAAGGCAGAGTGGCACATGGCAGAGGGGCATCACAATGGAGAAACAGTTCATGGACCCTACGTAGTATCAAAAGCAACAAAGGACCTTAACAGCGTCTTCTCCCCCTTTTATCCAGACTACCAAGATTAGGGTGGTGCCAAACCAATCGGTGGACTGCTTCAGTAACCACACATCCTTTTTTTTTTGGTTTTTTTTGAGACAGGGTCTCACTGTGTAGTTGAGACTGACCTGGAACTCACTATGTAGCCCAGGGGCTGGTCTCAAACTCAAAGTGATCTTCCTGCCTCAGCCTCCCAAGTGCTGGGATTACAGACATGCGCCTCCATGCCTGGTACCACACACCCTTAATCCCAGGTTCACACACTCGAAATTCACCCACCTCTGAAAAAGCCCTATGACCACATGAGGCTTTGGGGGGAAATCTCAACACAAACCATAACAGCAGTCTTGTGTGTTGTTCCAGTGTTTGGCATTGATGAGAAGGCAGTATTGTTAGGGACTAAGAGGGGGCAGCTGCTGGGTCTAGGATGCCACATGCTCAGGGCACCCTCTCCTCCCCAGGTGCAGGTCCCAGAGGAGAGCGGCTGTCACACAGCCACCACTACCTCCTCCCTTGTGTCCATGAGCTGTGGCCTGCGCCTCTTCTCCAGCATCGACGATGGCAATGGTTTTGCCCTTCCAGAGCAGATCATCACCACCTGGGCCCAGGAGGGCATCCATAGTGGCCGGAAGATCCTGCAGGTTTGGGCGGTACCCAGGTAGTAGGGTGATGTGGGGGATGTGTGCCTGCTGAAGGGAGTGGACAGAGCACCCCCTGCGGGGACACAGCAGGTCACAGGCTCTGTGCAGAGAATGTCGTGGAGGAAATGTCCATGGGGAAACCTTGTTCCTTCACATTTTGCTATTAAAACAGAAAAATTTTAAATAGTAAATAAAATACAGCAAAACCAGCAGCCTGAAAAAGTCCTGTTGAAGGTAAGTTTCAGTGACCTGCACATTGCTCCTGATTGCTACACAGAGGAGAGAGGACCCACAAGCTAGGGAGGGAATTTTTCACAGAAGTTTCTGATGAGTCTTGTCGGCCACTGGAGCTGTCCTACAAGACCCTACTCTTTAGACCTTTCCACGAGGGCTAGGTGTTGGGGTGTGTGGATCATGCCTCACAGTGTGTTGTCACTGAGTTGCACCCTGCAACACAGCTGTCATTCTCAGACCACAGCTTTGGTGGGCCAGCAATTTGGAAGCAGCCAGGTGGGTGCCACAGGACACTAGTCAGCCTTCAGCCAGTACCAGATGTAGTAGCAGCTACTCAGGTGGGGCTGGGTTGATGCTCACTGTAACTGTGGTCTTTGTTCTCCCGTGGGCCTCTCTGTGGAGCCTCCGAAGGAACATTCTCACAGGACAGCAGTGGTTGCCCCGGAGTAGGCAGTAGGAGTGGTGCACAGGTAGCCATGGTGATACAGAGCTGAGGCAGGAAGCAAAGCCAGGCACCCCAGCCCTGGACGCAGTCCCAGGGTGTGTATTGTTTGCAGCTCTGTCTGTTTTTGGTGTATATCAAAATATCCGTGACATACATTTTTTTAACTCCATTTTTCAAAAGCCCAAGGGATGGGGTTTGCTCCTCTCCAGGATGCAACTAGCTGTTGATCCCACTCTGACTTTCTACCAACAAAATCATCACCGGCTCCTTCTCAGAGGTGGTGGGTCGGCCTTGACTCTGAATGGCAAAGCCAGAGGCTTAAGCAAAAGGGGATGTCAGGGCCTGAGTGGGCAGTGGGGAGATGGTGCAGGGCACGGATCTGTGAGGTATTTGGTTGGGATGCCCTCCCTGCCTTTTTTCAGGGAGGGATAAAAGTCCAGCCAGGGTTTCTTGAACCCGTGAGGCAGGGACACAGGGCTATCTCACAATAGGGATACCACAGAGGGGACAAGGGAACACAGATGTATAAGGGGTTCACAGGAGCAGGGCTGCAGTGTTTGCAGCCAACAGAGCTGCTTGAGTTTTGGAGACTCCTCCCAAGGCAGAGACTCACAGACCAGGTGCTGGTTATGATAGCTGCAGAGCCTGGGCCTTGGACTGTCAGGGGTCAAGGATATGCCTAGGAGCCCTTGCACTCATATGCTAGCGGTTGAGGACATGTCTGGGGAGCCGTTGTCTGTGCTCTATGGAACAAGAATGTGTCTGGGGAGTCCTCACCCTTGTGCTCTGCTGCTTCCAGAGTCTGGACTTCAGCCTGGATGAGAAGGTCGACCTCCTGGAGCTAACCTGGGCCCTAGACAATGAGCTCCTGACAGTTGACAGTACCATTCATCAGGCAGCCCTGGCCTGCTACCGCCAGGAGCTCAGCTACCACCAGTAAGAACCACTAAGGCCCAGCCAGGCCAAGGTCTGGGAAGCCCAGGACAGGCGGGTATTGGCATCCCACTCATCCCGAGCTCTTGAGGGCAGGAAGAGGCTGTGTGGAGCAGAGGAGATCGTCCATAGGTCTGGCTGGGGTCCTGTGGCCCAAGGATGGTCCCTGGCTGCTGTTCGGGTTCTGAGGGCACAGAACTGAAGGGCTGCTGACCCCTTGTCCACTGGAGGGAAGCTCAGAGACCTGAATGTTAGGTCCTCATTATGACCATCCAGTAAGCCTAAGGAAGGACTAGGACTTGTTTGGCATCTGCTGATGCTGCAGCTCATGTCAGGGAGCTGGTGACCTTCCAGCCGGGAACCTTCTTCCAAGAGCAGCTGCAGGCTTGTGGCTCAGGCCAGCAAAAGCGGAAGGGTACCTTCTCAAACGTGCAGTGACTGTTGGGCCCAGGGCACCTGTCTTCAGGTGGAGCTGGGCTTTAGCTTGGGTGACAGTCAGGCATCTGTCCTCAAAGCACAGTCAGGATGTGCTGCTGATGTTCTGCAGCTGCAGAAAAGATGGCAGAGACCACAACTGATCCTGAAGACAGTACCAGGTCAGGGCCTGGCAGAGGGTCTCTGACCTCAGGCAGCTCAGAGACAGAACCAGGAGAGGGGTGGAGTGAAGCCTGATCTCTTCCATGGGCAGAGTGGGTACCTGGTGGCTGGGCAGCCAGAGCCAGGGTCACATGTCAGTCACTCTTTGCTCTGGGGGCCTCACCTGGGCTTGCTGATACCAGGTTGTTGGGCATGGGACTATGCCCATAACATTGGGGTGGATGGCTCTGTCCTTCCTGTGTCTGTGCCTGGATTAGGTGTGGGTGTCTGAGGGCTCTTGGCCTGGCTGAGACAGGAGGGCCTGTAGGTGATGCCCATATGTCCCAAGCCCTCTGCAGATATGTGTCTGAGCTCAGAAGAGCTGGGATTAAAAGCCAGGCAGACACTTTACTTGGCTCCTGCCTCAGTTTGCCCATCTGTAAGGTGGGCGTAGCAACAGCAGACAGATTGCTGGGTGGGGCTGGGTGAGGTCTGTGGCCCCAATTAGTGCAACCATGCACAATGTTCAGAGAAGCTGATGGGATCCCTGTGTGACGTGTGTCCTTGCCCTGCAGAGAGCAGGCAGAGCAGCTGGTGCAGGAGCGAAACAAGGCCAGGCAGGATCTGGAGCGGGCCGAGAGGAGGAGCCTGGAGCTCGTGAGGGAGATGGATGATAGCCATGCCGCCCTGGAGCAGCTCACGGAGCAGAAGATGGCGTGAGTTCTGGGCCACGTGCATGGGCTCCTCACTATAGTGTCTGTGTACCTGGGCCAGGACAGCTAGCCAGGGCAGCTCCATGGTCAAGAGCAGAGGAGGCCTAGGAACCTCCCCCAGGCCGGCCGACCCAG